TTAATTTACTTTTTTGTCAACTTTTTTTTTTTTTCAAACTTTATTATAAGAGTTGGATGAAAATTTGGTAAGTGATGAAAATGAATAGCTGAAATACAGCAGCAATTAGAATTTTCAAATCAGGTAAAATAAAAAAAAGCAAAAAAAATATCTGATTAACCTATGTTTTGAACAAAATTTTGAAAGATTTTTTCTAATTTTATTTTTATTTTTTCTAATTTTTACAGAAAAGATTTGAAAAATAGATGAAAAAATTGAACAGAAACATACCCAAAATAAGACTTCAGTACAGGACCGTTACCAAGACGGTTTCGGGGTGACTATGCAACTATTGCTTCATCAATTCAGTTTTTCGGCTTTAAGTATCTGTCAAATGTTCAAAGCTCATTTTTCAGGCCAAAAAACTGTATTTGTATGTGCTTTATTTTTTTTCTTGCTTTTTCTTTCCTTCTGCTTAAAATAATGTTCCACTATAAACAAAACGCAGTTAATTTGACTCAGCAAAAAAAATTTTTTCCTTCATTTTTTTTTTTTTTTTCGAATTTTTAATACGCATCATTCTTTTCTTTTTTTTTTTCCGAAACAACTAAGAAGAAGGCAAAAAGATGGAAAAAAGAACTTAAAAATTTCAAATTTTCAAACATTCTTTGTTGTTGCTTCTCTTTTTTTTTTTGCCTCTTTTGAACTTCGTCGGTATGACTTCAAATAACCAGTTATCCACTGTTGAAGTCTTAATTAGCCTATATTTTTAACTGTTTTTACAATATTTTTTGTTCTCACCCACTTTTTTTTGTTCCTTTTTGGCTTTTATTTTTATTTTTTTGTTTATTCCAAATTAAAAACTGCATTTTTTTTGCTTCTTTTGCCTCTACACCATTTCTTCTTGTCCAGTTCTGCAAAGCTGAAGTAAAAATACATCATAACCATTAGCAAAGTAAATAAAAATATGTATATAGCAACAAGAGTAAAAAAGCAGAAATCCATTAAAAAAACGACGTAAAACAAGAAATAAATTAAGAAAAATGTCATCAATGAAAAGCCTCTTTCATTTTTCATCCATAATCAAAAAAAGAATAAAAAAAAAAAAAGACGAAAGAAGAGGAACGAATATGCAGAAAAATGTTGTAGACAAAAAAACCTCCTGTATTCGATAAACTTCAATAATTTTATATGCCAGGTTTTTTCTTACTTAAACTTTTTACCCTTCCTCTTCCAACTCCATAATTTTTAACACTGTTCATTGCTTCAAGTCTTCGTCGTCCACCTCACCTCCTTCACCCACCTCCGTTTCTCCTGCTCGGCATTTTCATTTTTCCGCTTCCTGCTCCCTGTTCCCTAGCAAAAACCATAAAACATTCTGTTTTCTGAACTTTACAGTTTACTTTTGATTCCATCACTACTGCTGTCGTCAGCAACATCGTCATCAGTAAAACAATCAGTGGAATAAAAAGACGAAGAAAACCGATTCTATACTATATTGATACAGAAATATGGTATGATTGTTCATACAGTCAAATTACTCTAAAGAAAAACTGTATAAATACACGTCAGAATTGAGAAGAATTTTTTTTTGCAATTTTTTTTCTGTTTTCTGCTTTTTTTTCTCCTTCTTTTTGCTGCTGTTGTTTTGTTTACAGCTGCTCGGTACTAAATTAATGCGTTTCTCTTTCAATTTAACTCTTTTTTTTCAAATTTTAAAACTGCTTTTTTTTTGCATTTTTTCGGGTCGCAACTTTTATTTCCAAGCTTTGGTTTATTGCCGTGCAAAATAAACAACAAGTGCAAAACAGGAAAAAAGATTAAAAACAAAAAAAGCAACAACACCAAAAAAAAACAGCAACGAAAAAGAAAATATTTTTTTCAGGATAACAAACGAAAAGAAAAATTAATGAAATTTTTGTTTGAGAGAACGACAACGACGAAGGAAGAGTAATGATGACAAATTACTTCTATAGGAAGCGGACAGGAAAATTTTGAAGAAACGGATCACACTTTTGCTGCAAAATATCGTCGTACTGTTACTGTGCTGCAGCTAAACAATATTAACAGAAATTGCAGCTAAATAATTCTGACTAAATTTTAGTATTCCTTTTCTACTCATCAATTTTTTTTTTT